TCATGTTTTATTTTTGCTTTTGTTTCTTGTTCTGTTTTGGGGGATTTTCGTTTGCTTTGTTTTTTGTTGTTTTGATTTTTAATTGATTTTGTTTCTTGGGGAAGCTCTTTCTTGGTCGGAAAGTGGGTGAGTCGTTTAAGAAACCCAGATACCCATCTGTGAGCGTCTGAGACGCAGACACGGAGGTTCTTGGGGTCCTGATAGAAACCTTGGGCCAGAGGTCAAACTGGGAGCATTTTTGGCGGTGCAGGAGAGAGTCAAACAACATAAATTTTTTTAAACGCTGCCTGAGTGGGGGTGCGTTACTTTGTTTGGGGGGGATAAAAGGAAGGATTGTAAATAGGGAATGTATGTTTGGTATGATTTTAAGGTGGGTTCATGGTGAAAAAATGAAGCAGCGAAATAGCTCTTTCCTGTAAAACAACGGTCTTTGTGATTTTGTAAAGTAGTGTGCCGGGTTAAGAATGGAAATCAACTGTTTCACACAAATAGACTTCAAATCCCATTTATTTTATTTAGTAAGCCAGAATTGAATAATTTGATAACAGAGTTTATCAGAATTTTTGGCAGAAAGACTGAAAGAAAGAAAAAGCTGTTTAAAAGATGATGTAAAGATAGATTTAGTTTTATAGGAAGAGAAAAAGAACGGATACAATACTTTGCAATGTACAAGGACTTAATCTTCTGTTGTAGCGTACCAGGTTTGTTACGTGCGCTGGGTGTATCTGATCACGACCTGAATGAGCGCAGTCTTTTCTTTGACAATTTAAAGGGAAGTCTGCAAGTAAGAGTGTGCTATGCCAAAACGGAAATTCATTTGGGTCAGTTCCTAATGGTTACTCGGTTCTGTTTCAAGAAGAATACACGCACATTAAAAGAGTGCTGGATAGACTTAAATACAGGAACCGCAAATAGAATATTTGTGTTGATTTGAAAATGGTCAACTTTTTACTTAACCAACAGGGTGTCTATACTAAATATCCATGATCTCTTTGTCTTTTTGACACTCAAAGGAAAACACTGGGAACAAAAGATTGAATTAGTGACAGCAGCTCTAACAGTAAGGGAGGAGAATGCTATCGATCAACCACTAGTATTGAGGGGAAAAATTCCATTTCCTCCCTTTCATATAAAATTAGGCTAAATGAATCAATTCGAGAAAGCTCAGGACTTTGAGGGAGGCTGTTTCAAGTATATAAGTACAATTTTCCCTTATGTCTGTTACGAGAAAATAAGGGCTTTTGTTTTCGATTCATCTCAAATCAAAAAGCAGATCACAGACTCGATGAGCGACAAAATAATATAATGGTTGGAACTTGAGAATCGTTTCGTCTTTGGGAAACAATTTTTGGGGCGACAAAAAAGAATGAAATAATCCTAAGAACATTGTCAAAACTTTGTTAGAAAACTTTCATATTTTGGGCTGCATCACATGCATCCAGGTTCATTTTTATTAGTCATTTAGATGATTTTTCTCAAAACTCTGGTGATCTTAGCAATGAGCAAAGCCCAAGTTTCATAAAGACTTTACGACTATGGAGGAGAGCGATCGAGACCGATGTGACACCAACATGATGGTACATTACTGTTGAAGCGTTCAAACAGACTGCCCAGACTCAACGCACCCCACAGAATCCAGAAAAAAAAGTTTCTGTCATGAATATGCTGTTGCCTTCAACTTAAGTACATTTTATACTATTTAATTTCTGAATGTTGTACCTATTGATATTGTGAAACTGAGCATTGATATGATTTACAGGTAAATGAATGAAAAAATCTCTGATGTTTCAGATTGCTTTTTTTTCTTGCTTTGAACGAGATTGGTTTTAATTGTTATTATTATAGCTAATTCAAAATTGCATAGCGCAAGCACTGCGGTTATGTATGCCATAGAGCAGAACAACTTGACGTGATAGAGATAAACTGATACCATTTTTTATTTCAGTGATCACGAATAACAGTGAATCAAGTCTCAAACTCCATACACCGCTGGAAAAAAAGTTAGATTTTGTTGTCTGGTGTTATAATAATAACCATAACATTATAAATTCCACTTATGTACTGCATTTACACTTTAAAAAAGAACATACAATGTGTTTTACAATATTACAAACAACATAAGCACCATATACATTTCCAATACAGAAACGGAATAACATATTATTATAACAAAGAAAGAAAAGAAGAAAACGCACCGATGGCGCCCTGCTACCAATCACACATTCGGGAGTTAAAGATACCTTATATAGAGTGGAAAGACGTGAAATAGCGTTACACCAGCATGTGATGATATTTTATGTATAGAGAAGCAGCAACGCTTTAATCCTCGTTGTTATTTTTGGCAGTGACCTACTTTCTATTCCTGGCCTTCAAAGTCTTATCTCCTCATCATTATCTCACAGTTAAAATCCCTACTTAAATCTCTTCCGGACGAAAAAAGAAGGAAAACCCCAAGAACCTACCCTCTTTCTTTCTTCAATCACCATTATCTCTCTGTGTGATTCCAACTCCTATCTCCGGCAAGCACAAAGAAGCTGAGGTTCCTCCTCTAGTCAAATCGGAAAGTCAATAGAGTTAAGTTCATAAAAAATTCATTCTGATTCTAGAGCCTTCTTGCACTCTTCAGTTCATCTTCCTTCCTCTTTCTTCTCCGCTTTATTCCCTTCTTTTTCAATAAGTCTCCCAATCACCCCCCCCTACCCCCCAACCCCACTTTGACAGAAAAGGAAAAAAGAACAAACAAAAAAAAACAACAACAAAACAAAACAAAACAACCCCCCCTAAAAAAAAAAACAGACAAATAAACACGCTCTTTAAGTGATTCAGTTACGATTAAATATTTTTTCTTACTCTACTCATTCACTCACTTTCTCTCTGTAAGGATAAAAAAGTTACGACATTTCAGTTTCACACTCGTGCTTTGTCTGTCTGTCTGTCTGTTTGTTTGTCTGTCAGTCTGTCCGTGCTTGTCTCAGTCTTGTTCTCTGTCTGTTTGTCAGTCTGTTATTAGTTATTTCTTTGTCTGTCTGTCTGTCTGTCTGTCTGTCTGTCTGTCTGTCTGTGTATCTGTCTCTCTGTCTGTCTGTCTGTCCGCGCATGTCTGTTTGTCAGTGTCACTCTCAATTTCTCTCCCAATTTCTTTGTACCTATCTCCCTTCCCCCTTCCCCCCCTCTTTCTCTCTCCCCCTCTCTCTCCCCTCTCTCTGTCTCCCCCTCCCCCTCTCTCTC